TGAACACCTACTTTGAGAACCTGTACTCTAATAAAATGGAAAACACAGAAGAAATGAACAGATTTCTAGATACTTATGAATTACCAAAGTTGAACGAAGAAGATAAAAACATTTTAAACACCCCAATCACAATCAGTGAAATTGAAAATGTAATTAAAAACTTACCAACAAAGAAAAGCCCAGGCCCTGATGGATTCACTGGGATGTTAGTTTAAAAGGCAAATCTGCAATAGTTTGAAAAAGTCTTAGAAATCTTAATAAAGAAGGCCAGAAAGTGACATTCTCAGAAGGCTGAGGGACACCACAAATAACACAGAACCTAGGAAACACTGAAGTGTAAATTCCCCCTGCAGAGAGGGAAAATGCACAGTGATGGAGGGGAGACTGCAGAGAAGCAGCGCCCCCCACAGCCAGGCTGACACGCAGTGGAGTCCCCAGGTCCCCAGTGCCTCCCAGTCCTGTAGAAAATCATCAGCTTGGGCCCTAGTGCAACCGAAATGATGAACAGGGCTCCCTCTAGGACCCACGAGACAGTTTGTGAGTGACAGTTGGTCAGTGATGGGCTGTCCTTGCCCTAGGTTCTGGCACCTGCCTCTCCACATCAGCCTGGGTTCCTGTTCCCTGTCTCCCCACCTGCCCTGACCCACCTGCCTCCCAGCTCCCTTCCTTGGCAGCTGCAATCCTCAGAGTCAGGGGCACTCACCTGTGCACCCCGTGCAGCCAGCTTGGTGTGCGAGTTCTGTAGGCAGCACCACCAGGCCCTGTTTATCCTTCCTGAGTCCTGGGACTCCCTTCCAGCTCCTACTGCTGTCAAGATGTCAGCGTCCGTTGCAAATGTTGGGCTCCCCAGGGGAAAAGGGCTTATTCTGCTCATCTCAGAGGAGACCTCTGGGGTGCTGTGTGCTGTGTCCTGACCTGTGTGCCACTGAACGCCTAAATAAGAGTCAGTCCTTGTCCCTCTTGAGAGGGGCACTGAGGATATCTGCACTTATTTGTCAGTATCTTTATTTCAAAGCTTCTCAGTAAACTGGTTTACCCACCGGGAGCCTCAACTCTGAAGTTACTTCCCAGGTCAAGCTGACAGGGGTGTGTGGGCCTTACTATCAGAACTGCACATCAGCTCTGGCTCCCTAGTACCAGGTCCAGAAATGCTCTCTTGCTTAGTTTTCAGTCACACAATAAAGATGGGCCCAGGCGAAGTGGCTGACTTTGTTTTCACCCTAGCAGCTGGGTAGATTGGGTAACTCACACTTCTTTGACCTCCACCCTGTACCTTTTCCCAGGGTCCTGTCCACTTCCTGTGGGAAAGCAGAATGGAGTTGAGTGGAAATGACTATGACCCACCATCAGGTCATGTTATTTCTCTAACCACGCTAGCAGCTGTGCTTCTCTGAGCTCTGTAAGGCAAGCAGTGTGACTTCAGGTGGGTCTGAGATCTAGGGGTCACCAGACTCACCCTGATTGGGCCTGTCTTTCTCTCTGGGTAGAAAGAAGAGGAGTTGGAATAGAAGACCAGTGCAAAGAGGGGGTAAATTTTTTGTGGGTTTTGCAAGAGGAAGTGGTAAAGAGCCCCATGGAGGAATGGGGGTGCTCATAGAGGGGTCGCTGCTGAATCTTGGGGCAGTGGTCCTGTTTGATGGGGTAGGGTCCCTTCTCCACCCCACTGAGGGTTGACACTGGAATGGTTATAATGGGGTTGTTGCTCGGGGTTTGGTCCTGTGGGTGACCAGGGGATTGTGGGTAGGCATGGACACCTGCGTGAGGGGGACAGTGCTGCC